CTCAATGAATCAGCGAAATTATGTCGCGTCCGAAACTTGCTGGTCCCGTCATTTTTTACCCATATATATTGTATATTGTTGATTAGATTGAGATTGCGAGTGTGGAATGTATTGATGTACACGTTGCAACGATGAATGATAAATCATTACGCGATTGTGCCAAACGTTTGTAAAGGCGACATTTGCTTTGTTATTTGTCGCGATTGTTGAAAGGCGTTTAATGTAGTTTTATCGAATTTTAATAAACGTGTCCGTCATAATTTCAGTGGGAAATTCTATCAAGCTCACTTAATCGAGACTGGCTAATGCACGACGCTGCTGGCTGCACGATGCGTTCTCGATGCATCTTCCAATTCCAACGGGAATATTTTTGCATGAATATTTTTCGCTATATACGCGATATTTTTCTACAATTCCCTTTTCAACAAACTCATAATTTAAGAGATGTATCTGCACTTTCCATCGCGGTGGCTGTACAATTTTCATTTTTCCACTTCTCTCTCTCTCTCTGTCTCTCTCGTCATACAAAAGCGGAATTAATTAATTTCCGTCCCGCGTTACGGAAAACCACCCTAATCGCCTAGATCGACGTCGCGACTTGCTGTATACCACAGACACAACGATGCGCCACTGAATTCCATGCTTAATTCGCCAGGCAAACATTCGGTCTACGCTGACATCATATACTCGTATCACGCTCGCCTGATTAAAATCTTGGCGAATACCGCGCTGCGAGTTGCCATTGTATCGCGTTACGTAAATCGAGGTATTACTTAGTTACGAGGGATACGAAAGGGGGGGGGGGTGGGGGAGGAGGAAGGACGCGCGGAAGAAAGACAAGGGAGATGGAGAGGAGGAGAGGGTCCTCAACGCGGAAACGTTGTACGCGGCGAATGGCACGCGGAAAAGAGAAAGAGCAAGCGACCGTTGTTTTCCGAGATACGTTAGCGCACCACCGGAGAAACCGGAAGTATTCGGGACAATGTACGCGGGCGCACATATCCAGAGCGCTCCTGAGTTTCGCTCGTACAGTAGCATTATGTCGGATGCTAAATGCTCGCGATATCTCGCGATGGTGTGGCGCGGCGGCGGCGGCGTCAAGGAGCGTCTCTTTACGACCTCGTAACAATAAAAATCACGGCGCGACGAACGCGTCGGAACATTAATTGCAGCCGAGTAATTCCTCCTGCGGAAATATTGCAAACTATATATCTATGCCTCGGTGGTCGAATTGGTGAGACGTATAGAGTGTATAGGGAGGTCCAGGTTCAAACCCTGGCTGAGGTAATATTTTTCGCAATAAAATTCTTTAATTAGAATTTGCCAGTGGTATCGATTATTCATTTCCTACGTTGGTTAATTACTTACTGGCGACAATAAGCCTTTATTCTTGTTATATATGTATGTTTAACAAACCAAAATGGAAAACTTATAGTCGACCAAACTGGAAAAATTAGGTAGTTTATTTAAGATGTAACGTTATGACCTAATTCCAGGTCCTTGTCAAGGAATACAGATTCATTATCTAACACAACTGTTGCCATGGGCCTAGGAATATCTGGACGGGAGGATACCCTTTAAAAGTCAATCAAAGTGGATTATCACTGACAATCCACTGATTGACTTTTAAAGGGTATCCTCCCGTCCAGATATTCCTAGACCCGTGGCAACAGTGAATAGTCACTGATTTGCGGTTATAAATATACTACTGAAAATTGCAGTGGTATACTTATAACTGCAAATCGGTGACTGTTCACTGTTTTCAGTGATAATTCACTGACCGACTTTTAGAGAGTAAGGTACTCTTTTGGACGAGGAGAGTGAAACTTAAAAAGTGAGGGGAAAATTCATTGCGGCCATCTTGGTTGTTCGTGTACACAGCTATGCCCTTAGAACTAAGGCCACATATCACGAGATACATCAAAGACGTCCGTTGTATCCCGCTATCTCATATTAGGAGCCTATCTCGTAATAAGGGACTCTCCTCTATATGTTTAACGCAAGTAATAAACGGCGCACAGCGCGGATCGCCGAATACGGTCGGTGGGAAATTCTTAGAGCGTATTACAAGGGTCTAAGTAATTGCGAGGCTATACAATAATTTGACAGCACGGGCGATGTGTCTGGTCTGCCGACGACAGTTTTACGCGCCCCTGCGTTCGACGCGCGCTTTAAACACAAGCGTAACGCTTCCGCGAATTGATATCGTCATTGTAAACAAAAAAGGAAACTGTCATGCTCTTTTTTTTACAATACGAAATTTTATAACCATTTTGCGGTAACGTCCCGTAAATAAAAAGGATTTACTGGATTTTTTTTTTATATACGTCAAACGCTCGGAACATGAAACGTTCGTCCCTCCCCGATTGCAGGCGTGGAGAAACGCGATATGAAAAGGCTGGTAGATTATTACATTTGTTTTATGTGGGATTGAAACATTACTGGTAGTAACAGCGCGGCGTTTGAACGGCCATCTCCTCGGCGCGGCAGTTTTATCACCGCGCGAGATTTATCCGTACGTAGATACTCGGGGAAGATGTATATTTATAGATCAATTTTTCCAAAACGATATCCAAATTCTATCTGGCTTGATTCAAATTGAGTCGCAATTTCTATGCATTATTCGCAATTTCTGGGTTAGGAATGTGTGAATTTTAATATTACTTCTTATGAATATGAAGTGGACAGTCCCGCGGTCGGGTTTTGCACGAGTCGGCGCGCCGTCGGCGACGACGGCGACGACGACGACGCTGGCGACGACGCTGGCGACGATGAAAGGGACAATACGATCGCGGGATGCGTTAAAAGGGAAAGGTAACGACTAGGGCGAGAGATAGTCGCCGGGTCGAGCTACGCGGTCCCGCGCGGCGCTTTTCAAAAACATTTTTACACTTCTTTCCGAGTCGTTGTATTCCCCCTTCTTCTCCTTCCGCCTCTGACAAGCTGGCGGAAGGCGAAGTGGGCGAGAGCGAGCAGACAGACCGCGTACACGGTGACCATAACAAATGCGGCTAACTAAGCGCAAAAGTCTCGCGAAAGCTTATTACTCGATGTTTACAGCCCGGAGGAAACTTGGCCCGCGCTCTCGCGGCGCGGTGTACCGCACTTTAGGAACTCACGAGAGGAGTTCCGCAGTAACTGCGACCACCGCGAGTCGTTTGAAACGGGGCCTGTGTGACAACGGGGCCAATCCCGTAATTAACATACTCTCCTCTTCCGCGCCCCGTAAACACCCTGCGCGCTCGGCGGGGGCGAGGAGCCCGCCGAGGGCGTTCGATGTCGTTGAAACGGATATTTTTCAACGGCAGAAAATGCGGCGGAGGATGGAAATCACTTTCCGGCAAGTTTCCCCGGCGGAAGGAAGCGCTGATCTTTCCTAAACCATCCGCTCTCTCCGTAGCAGCCGTCGCTCTGGGGCGTCCGTCGCGATCGAAGTTAATTGAGTCGTCCGTAATGAGGTTTCGGCCGCGCTTCTGTCGAGAAATTTTAATCGGCCGAGAGGATCGGGGAAGAAAGAGGTGCCTCCAAGTCGCGCGCCAGCGACGGACGCTTGGAATGTTTGCAAGGAGTTATTCAATTATTTTACGCTCCCGCCGCCGGGTCCGAGGTGCCGCTCGATTTGCTCGTCGCAGAAAGGGGGGGGGGGAGGGGAGGGCAACGGCGGATCGGCCTGAACAAATTCAACTGCACGTATATATCGAAACGGTATTGACGCGATTGAAAAAAAGGTGCAAGGTGGAGGTAATTTTTTGTGGCGGCGAAAAAAAAAAGTGGAATTAAATGCAATTCGGCATGGCGGTATGGCGGGGCCCGTATCGGACGTTACGTCGGACGGTCCACGTAGCTATTTTTCGCTCGAATAAGGCAATTGATTGATCCCCGGTGTCTGCCAATTCTTGCCCGGCTAAATCCGATCGTTGAAAGCATAAGCTTGGTTCTTTACGCAATTTGGCGGAATTTGAAAAATCAAGTTGCGCGCTCGCGCGAGCGCGATGGGATGTGCGACAATTTTCGCGTTTTTTTGTTGTGTGTATTTTTTTTTGTTCATTTTTCCCCTCGTCGCGACCAGCGACGCAAAGCGGCTGAGGAAAATCGATTTCGGTCCGCCGGACGGAAAGTGGGTTGGAAATAAAAGTCTTGCCGGGCCGATACTCGCGATCGGCGAAGTGTACCACGATCGAAACCTCGACCACGAAAACCGCCGCGCCAGCGACACGCACCGGCGACACACACAGGCCCAGGCTTATTTTCAGGCCGCGTTGTCACCGAACCGCCTTGCGAGCAATCTATTATGGCGCGGGAACAAGCGTCGCACGCCAGCCAGGCTTTACACCGCGGTAATTACAGGGGCATCGCGGGGGAGGCTTTACACGCGCGTGCGGCCCGAGACTCGCGCTTTAATACTCGATTTCGACGCGGTCTACATTGAAGCTGCCGATTAATAATACATTAGTAATTACTTCGATATTATTCATATTTCTCGGGCGTATTACATTGTCACGATTGTACCGCCAATGATTTGTATTACGTTGCGCAGCCAGCCATTAGTACATGTCAATATTTATTAAGCCGCTCAGGGGGATTATAAACGCCCCTGTAATAATGAAGTGTACGCGGATAATAAATTGCGATGACGAAAAAAACAATGAGAAATTCGTGCCCTCCTTCGCGCTGCTGGAGCACCATAAATTGAATCAATTTTTTTTTCTCTCTCTCTCTCTCTCTCTCTCCTTCCCTTTCTCTCCCTCTCTTTCTCGCCCTCTCTGATAAACACGGTAATAATCTTGTAACGTTCGAAGGAACAGTCCAGAGGGAAGGTGGGGGGGGGGGGGAAGGAAGGGAGGGTGGAAAAGGGAGATAAAGAGGGAGAGAGAGAACTCGACGAGAGAAAAAAAAATGCGAGAGAGACGCCTCGGAGTCATTCTGCTGCTCGCATGAATATCGATCCGCTCAAGTTTCAGCGCACCGCTTTCTTCACGAACACTGCTTGACTGTTTCAGACTTCGGTATAACGACAGGTCGGCAGGAGGGGCAGTACCCGTGTGCCTTTGTTTTCAACAGCAACGAGACCCGGAACGGTACGTTCGCGTCGCCAAATTACCCCGGCCTCTACCCCCGTAGCACGGAATGCTACTACTTCTTCTACGGTCAGTCTAACGAGCGGGTTCACCTTCATTTCCACTTCTTCGACGTCGAGGGAGTGTTACCGTAAGTTCGGCGAACAAGCAAATCCTCTTCGCGCCACCCCTCCCTCCCCCCCCCCGTGGTCCTCGGACGAGTCCCGAAAATGCGGTACGAGCGGTCCGATGAAATTTTAATAACGGCTTCGGAAATTGCCCGAGTATTTTCGCCGTCGGCGATCAACGTCGGCGATCACCGGCGAACGATACAGCGTACAGAAATATAATAATGAGAAATGAAAATTAATTAACGCGCGAGTAATAATGCGATATATTCGCATGGGGAAAGAAGATAAAGGGAGATAATGGCAATTGTACGATAAAAGTATCACGGTTAATATAGTGAAATGTTTACACTTGAGGTACCTCGATACCCCCGATAATGAATCGAATTGATTGCCCGGGGTGCCAGCAGCGTCGAAAGAACCAAGCGACGCATTTACATGCAATGTAAATCTGTTTAACTGCGTACCGGGGGGAAACTCGTTTGCCGCTCTAGACTCTCCCGTCCATCGCCTATCCGCTGAGACGGAAGGCGGGAGCGTCTTCGAGCGAATTTAGAATCTTTCCCGCGAAGGCGGGAATCGATAGCTGCTCAATTGTGCACCCTTGCGGGAGTCGGGACGGCTCGTTATAGCAAACTGCATCCAAGTTCTCCCAGCTACTTATCGAGACACGAAGGAAGCCCTGATGAAGGCTCGGCGACCACTACCACGCGGAACAGAGGCAATTACGTGTCAACCACGCCGCATGCTGTTATTAACGAGCGTATTACCCATTATCATGTAACAAGAAATATAACGCGCTGTAACTTGTGGAAAATAATATAACGATGTGACGCAAACGTGGAGAACCGGAATGCGGTAGGCCGGGGGGAAGGGGTTAACGCGCGGAAAGGGACGCGGAGCCGTAAACTGCTGCGCGTGCGAAAGATAAAGAGAAACGGCGCTGGAAGGGGGTTGCCGCTGGTCGAGAAACGAGAGCGATGGGGAAACGCGGAGGGAGAGGAGGCTCGGTGTGCTCGGGGGTCATACGATAGCTGCTCCTAATTGGGTCGTATTAAATCGCAGGACCATCAATATTCCGGCGGCAACGTAACGCTACGTTCATTACCGGAAGCCGCTAATTAATCATGTTTCGCCAATTCCTGTCGAATTTTATAACAACGCGGCGCGCGCTCGTTTGTCGCACACGGCGCCACGGCAACGCGCTATCGCGATCGCGACGAAGGGACGAAGGGACCACCGGAGCCGGAATTCGGTCGGTCGGTCGGTCGGTCGGTCGGTCCGTCCGGTCGGTCGGCTGACGCGACTCGCTTTTATAAATTGATAATTCGACGTCGCGTCGCTCGACAACGGCGCTATTTATCACGGCCAGCCGCGGCCGCGGTCGCTCGTGGCAAGATTTTCCCTCCGGTGCTACCTCGGGGAAAACGGCAATCGTAAATATCGCCTGCCCTCCGCGCAACGAAACGCGAGAGTTGGATTGGACGGAGCGCGCGCCCTTCGGTCCCTTCTATATACTATTCGGCTCGGAGGTAGCAGTCTAGTAGTGGAGGAAAGTCCCCTATTATCAGGCAGACTTCTAATATGAGACAGCGGGGTTTCTACTAAATTAATAGGGCATCGTCTGTTGGTTCCGCCATGAATTTATCGCCCTTCAAGTGCGATCGTCATCGAATTCGGATGTTGAGAACCTGCTCTCTCATAATAGGGGACTTTCCTCTATGTCCAAGTCTGTGGCCTTTACTCGCGGATGCGTTTCACCGGCGTCGAGACGCGGCGAGGGGGGCATCGGAAAAAGATGCATACGTGGCCGTAAATCTGTGACCACCGGTAAACAGTTCTCGAGACGCTTCGCGTTACGTTCGCGCTCAAGAAAACGCGCCGGGAAATAATGATCTATCACCCGAATTGCCACTTATGTCATCGGGCCAACTAGCGTGGGCTCTCTCTCATTTTTTCTCACTCTCTCAAATCCCCCCCTCTCTCTCTCTCTCTCTCATTTTTACGCGCGCTATTCGCGATATATATTTTCCACTCCGTGATAATAGCCCCATCACTCGTGCATCAATATTTCTTTTCGCGACGATAATATATTGTTTGTCTCGCCGCGGATGTGTCGCCGCGCAACAACCGGATGGCCGCGTAAATCTTACTTATCGCCTCTATTTATCTGCCAGGCAACGCTACTCCGGTCGCCCTTAATTATACCCGATGAGATGGTAATAGAATATTATTATGCTACTCAATATGCATTTTGTATGATAAAAGGTTTAACAATGATAGCTTCCCATTCTCCGTGGGCGCAACGCGACGTCTTATTAAGATATTAACGAGCGTATTAATATTGTTGAAGCAGGCTGGATGATTATTATTAAGTAAAAGATGGAATCTTGCCAATATTTCTCGTGTAACTGCCGTGCTTAAAGAACACTCGCGTCAGAACGATGCGAATAATAGGCTGAAATTGAATTATTTATGGAAATACTGTCGGCGAAAGAATTATAAACGCAATTTATTACCGCGGGCTGGTCGAGGAAGACTGTTAAGAAGAGTCATCCGAATTTTATCGATATTCCATCCAGAGGTTAGATATTGGAGCCTTTTGCTGCTCCATTTTTCATCAGGCATATATATATATATATATATCAATGTATTGCATATGTCACAAGACGTAAGAAGGAAGAAACGTAGACGCTGAGACTGAATGGCTTATCGAACGCCAGTTCAAATGCTTAATAATCCATAATCTCGGTGTCTGCGTATCTTGAAACACATATACAGTTTAGTCGGTGCGCTCCGTTTAAAATTTTCATTTTTTGCACACGGAGAGACCGATATGGTAACCACATGTCTAATTATAATAGTTATATTTGGGACAGCTGTCATACCCACGCATTGGTATGATAAGTAGTGGAGACAACTATATGCGTTTTGTGCAGCAAACTTGGTGAATGCTGCAACGCAAAACAATGTAGATGCCCCTACTATTTGTACAACATTTTAATTTTAGTTATTTTTGCCTTAGCCGGTATTTCCATGCATGAATATAAAAAACGAAAGCCAAGTCTCGCTGCCTTCGGGTGAGAGATAATGAATATGATAGACATAGACTACTTGCTCTTAACGAAATGCACGTCCGACGAAGTTTCCGAACTATCAAGGCTTGCAGGAGAAACTAAGTGAGTCGTTTAACTACCCAAACCTTATTAACCAATTGAGACTCGGGGGGAGGTTTATTTATTTTGCTTAATATATCTTAACGCACAGAGAGCACAGGATGTGCGCGAGGGAAACCATAGTCCGCGTTTTCTCACGATGTTTTATTTAATTTAAAAAAAATGCAATTTGTAACTCGACACATAAAGTTAAAGCAGACCTGAAAAGCTTCTGTCCAAATGTGATAAAAATACGTATCTTCTGGTATTATATTTCATTTACGAAACCAAATATTGTTATTACAACTTTCACAATAATATAAATGTTAAGGAATTATAATATGGAAAGTAATTATTTCAATATATATCTATATATGTATATATTGTACGATAAAATGTACGTTACGTTACGGCCACAAACGATACGTGCGCCATAAAATTCACCATTTATTTGTTTCGATAAACGAAATATAAATGTTAACGATAAAGCATCGTTATTTAATTTTAATTTGCTTAGATTATAAAATTAATTATGCCTCTTTAATTGAAAACAATACACGCTTCCCTCTTTTATCTTTATCAGTGACACTATCTCAATGATCAATATTAGCAGCGCAGAGCAAAATTTACAAGCGATACTATACGTATAAATATTACGTATACCTTGTACACTTATGCGATACATGAATTGTAATAAAATTGCGTGTCATCGAGTTTCTGTGGACGATTAATGAAATAAAGCGTCGATAATGCTTTCCCCGTGTATAAAGTAAAAATCCTACCGTTAATGCGGAACTTTTCAGGTGCGAGGCTATATCGGCTAGCGATTACGTCGAATTCTCCAACTATATGATCAGAGACCGGAAGTATCCGAGGCACTGTGGTCAGCTGAAAGAATTCGACGTTTACAGCGACAGGAAGTTCTTCCGTGTTACGTTCAAGAGTAACGATCGTCTCGACGCCACGGGCTTTAATGCCAGTTACGTGTTTCTGGACGAGGAAGAAAATTACACGCTGAAGATACCTGCGAGCAACGGATCGGCACGGCATGGTGAGGCTTTCGTGAAATTAGTTAATTAATTATATCACGGTGCTGCTTTACCGTTCCCTACATAGGTAGCTTCTGATTTTTTTAAAGCAGTCGTAACACCAGCAACTCCCGAGAGATCCGATAAGGTACAGCAGGAAATGCGCCGAGAAAATCCTCCTCGTACGCAACATTTTCCTAATAGCTACGCTATTATATTATTCACGTTTTGGCAAATATATGTATATCTACTGTTTATTATCTATCACTCAATAATACGGCCGTGGAAAACGCGGATCGTTAAAAAATTGCGATATATACGGTACCAGTTCCAACTAGAGTATTGAATTTATTTGGCATCGTGTAAGTTCACATCTACGCGAATTTTTAAAAGTCCAAGTTCATACATTTCGCTCGCTTTCGACGATACAATTATTTACGATGAATATTGGAAATGGAAAAATGTGAGCCGTGGTGTGTAGAGTTACGTAACTGCAGCAATAGATATATCATACGTAATGAAGTGCTTGTTATACCCTCGCATATTTACACAAGATATCGTAGTTTCACGTATTTCCGTTATTATGTAAATATTCTTATTCATTTTAATTACGATGCGAAAGGTATCGGGCAGCTGAAAGGATAGTTAAAATAGCAGATGAATAAAGATTTTTTTCCCCCCCCCCCCTAAAAGACTCGACATATAGAATGTCGGGAGAAAGAAATCTCTTCTCTTTCAAAGCTCTCTCGAGAGAAAGAAATCTTTGAAAGAGAAAAGATTTGCCTGCAATATTACAGCTAAAAGTACAACATATTTGAATTTAACTGAATTCTAGACTTAATATAATTTTTGAAACGCGACGAGTTCTGCGTAGAATTAATATGGTCTCTGAAAACTCAAGCGAACGGAGTCTCTCGCTTCTCTTAACAGTACCGACTTGTACGTCTCGTAGGCAACTACGACCACATTACGGTCATTATGTTCCGGGTATTTAAATATCTTGTTAGCAATTTCCATGACAGCTATTTCTCTTGATTTTTCCTTCTTGTCGTACACGTGGTAAAAAACACGAACGGATATTCCGGAAAATAATTGAGTCTTTTGTAACATAAAGGAAAGCCCGACAAGAGAGGCCGGTAAAAACCCCGTAGAAGGGATCTATTCTGAATTGTACGGAGATCCGTTCATTCGCATTCTCGTTCTCTCGAGGAGGCGAAAAGTCACGCGCGCGGCAACGTAAATGGATAGAAGCGGCCTGGAAAAGGTAGCGCAGGGGCAGAATGAATTAAGGCGGTGTACTTTAGCCCGTTCCGTCAAATCGAATTGCGCGGAGAGAAGCCCGTTATTCACTCGTTTCGCGCTGGCAAACGGGGTCGAATACCTCGGATTCGTGAAACTTTTGTTACAACTTGGAGCATTGTTGCACGCCCAATGGTTGGAGTAGCCCCGGTGCCGCTGGGCTTAATAGCTCCAAATACATCTTCGAGCGTTCGGTCGCCGTTTAAATGCCGCTTCCAGACCGGTAACAATTGCAGAACGGAAAAATGTGCAAACTCGACGGGATTGTAACGTATGAATCGTGTGATACATGCCGCCTCGTTCTCCGCTGATCCGATCAATCGGACGTTATTTATCGATTCCGCTAATAACTCTTTCAAACTGCGTTATCCCCCGATGTATCATCTTTAACGGTAAAGATTTCTACGTTGCGATCCCGATCGCGAGTGTCCGGTGATGTGACAAAGGCTTCTTACCCGAAACTATTCGTAATTTTGCATAATCGCGATGTTTGAAAAATTGATTCGACGACGAAACGAAATAATATCAATTAGACTTTCGTCACAGCGACTTTGGTACACGCGGTCAACTAAAACTGCCGGTCAATGTTGCGAAACAAATTGCAAATAGGACTCGATCAGATGTGACGCATATTTTCAATCATCGATAATGTCGTTATTAATTGATTCCGCTAATAATTCTTTCACACTGCGTTATCTCCCGATGTATCATCTTTAACGGAATAGAGTTCTACGTTGCGATCCCGATCGCGAGTCTGCAAAAGGGTTTCAGGTCATGTGACGAGGGCTTCTTACCCGAAACTATTCGTGATATCAATTTCGCATAATCGCGATGTTTGAGAAATTGATTCGACGAAACGAAACAATATCAATTACTTTCGTCACAGCGACGCGGTCAACTAAAATTGTCAGCCAGTGTTGCGAAACAAATTGCAAATAGGACTCGGCCGGACGTGACGCATATTTATAGGCAATCAACGATAATGTCGCGCCCCACCTTCGCCATCCGCAAGGCGCGAGATTGCGTAGCAGCGGTTTCAATATTCCAGATTGTATCGTCGACTTTGCAATATTTGTCCGCGGGAACCAGCGTGAGATTGCATAATGAACAAACTGGCGTAACAAGATTCGCTATCGGTTTGTGAACGGTCGTTATCGTCGAATTTGATAAATACGCGGCTCGGGAATGGGAGAGCGGAACAATGAGAAAGCTCGGGGACGCGTTTGCCGAAGAGGAGAAAAAGAAAATATTTTAACGTTATTTTACACACAACGGTGGAACCACCGAATCTCGGCATCTTCTTTATTTGTGAAAATTACCGCGAAAAAATTCGCCCATCTCATCACATCGGTCGTAAAAATTGCCGTAACGCGTACAATTGTTGCAAAAATATTACGGCGTTTTTATTACGTCACGACGGCTCCCCACGCTGCATGTTTTTCCACCTCGCATATGCGCGGCAATAAAAAAAAGTCCACGAGAAGTAAACACGAACAAAACGCGCGATATGTATATTACTATTTATGCCATCGTTAACGTGAGTTATCACGCGCGTGGTTCCATATGCAAGGCAAAATGCACATCGATAACGCCCCGCGCGACTCACACCGCGGGATCAATTGCGAGATAAGAAAAAAGAAAGAAGAGTTGATCCGAAAGCTATATTATCTCGGGCGCACGAGTAAGAGTAAAATCGTTATTTCTTTCTTTTTTTTTCTTAAAGGTACCGCGTCTTCACCCCTGCAACCGTTGTTGCTGCTGCTGTTGCTGCTGTTCACCGACCTGGTTGGCGGCAGAGGTTCGCATTAAGAAAGGGCAATCACGGCGGACGAGGCTCAATCTACAACGAACCGCAACTTTAAGATCGAGAGCCATTTAGAATCACCGATAGCTCACAATCAGCTCAGAAGAAGAAAGTGACGACCTCGTTGACAAATTCGTCGGGAGGGAGTGTGTTACTCAAGTCTATTATCCGACCGGGACACGAAGTCTTAAATTTGTCCACGCATCCTTTCTCATTCTATCCCATTCGTCCGCGTCACGTTGACTATTTCGAGGAGAAAGCATCGGCGGTAAAGTACTTTTACTCTAAACAGCGTGCAAGAGAAACGACCGGACTGCGGACGATGTCATTCGTCGGGAACTCGTCGCAGCCCTCCCCGCCCGTAAACAGGAGAAGTGGGATTAATTGGCTGCGTGGCTAAATTGCCGATAGTAGCCTACGTGGGTAAGTTACCGTCGACAATCAACTCTTTCGAGAAGAATTGTCATCTTTCGGGGAGGTACAAGCAAGTCTTGTCTCGCGGTGGTTGCACAAAAAGAAAAAAAAGAAAAACATTACGACTCATTGCCGCTGTTTTTCCGATTTGAGCAAATGCACCTTAAGTGCACGCGAACTCTGTTTGTCGTTATACAATTTAACTTTAATCACGGTTTAAAGGTTGAAGAATGAAATCCGCAGATGCGAAGCACTTTATTTCTCAATATTTCTTTCAATACTGAGAGAATGTTAAGCGCGTATTCTCTTAAGCCAGGTCCAGGGTGAAGGTGCGCGAACAAAGAACGTTTGTCGGCGCTCGTTCATCTTGTTCGGATTCGGCTTTAAAGTAAGTCACTTGATTATTTAAGCCTGATTTTACTCGTTCAATGGGTAATGTTTTTCTCCTCTCGCGGGGAACGAATCTCTTAAGTCATCGTAATCGTCTGTCCGTATATCGCTCGAAAGTCATACATACCGTAGGAAAAAATTCGCCTTCACAAGTACGGACGGACTTTTACTATACATCCTCTACACGACTGTGATGTTCCCGTTCTTTCTTAGTTTATTAGAGACGAAAACAAGTCTGATCATTCGCGATAGCGAACATTCGTAATCGATAATTAGGTCCTGGAGATACTATTAATCGCCGATCGCATCATGGAGACTTAGAAAGCGTATAGTTAAGTATTTATCGTGAAAAATCCTGTTTCGAGCGTTAAACTAACGGGAAATTCGTGTAACAATCCGAAAATTTCCCATTTCGAATCCAGGGAGAATACGTAAACGTTTAACGGAATATATGAGAGCGATTAACGATTGCAATCCTTAAAAATGCGCGTTCGATTGAGCGATTTCGGCGATGAATGTTTCAATAATGAGCAATACGTGATCGACCGAATTTACAGGCTAGTGATGATTAAAGAGGGATATTTTGGAAACATTTTTTGAGCTTGTGGACTGCATCAATATTGCACAATTCGATATCACGGGTACATTGGTAACTACCAATTCTCTCCAATGCGTATTTCATCTGTGTATGATGCAAAGAATCGATCGCATTCAAACTAATCGCATTGGTCAAACTAATTTTCTCGTTAAATCGGCACTACATCAGCAAAACGTGAATATGGTCAAATCAATATTCTAATTTTCTGTCGGAATCGTTATTAGTGTTTCGCACTAATTCAATTTTCATTCCTCCGTTAGTTGAATATTTTACGACCTAACTTTTCTAAGGCGTGCACGCGGAATGTTATTATTATCGACTTTTTCGTTAAAGCAGGACCTTTAACTAATTCTTTGACAAATTAGGAAACAATTTTTCATCGAGAGAAAAATTAATAAGCGGCCTCTTTCTATTGCAACCTGTCTATTTTTTGTATATTATTTTAAATTGGCAATTAAATCGTGAATCAAATCTGTTAAAGGACATTTTATTTCAAATTAACTGCTAAAAATGTAACTGTCTACTCTATTAGACTTTAGTGATTAAAATTATTAGTTTTATCTATTAACTTTAATAGCGGTTTAATCTGTCCATTCTCTCCCCCTCTCTCTCTCTCTCTCTCTCTCTCTGTCTTTCTCGATGATATTAAATGGAATTATTATCATTAATTTTCACAAAATAAAAACTAGTTTTTAATTCATCGATTGATATAAGAACAATAATTTTTCTTCGAGTCTACAAAGTAATCCTTTAAGAACCGAGTTGTTTCAATAACGAAACCTTATTACATCATTTTATTGTAAATTAAAAATATTTTTATACGATATTCTAAAATCTTGATCCATATGTAAAAAAGAAAGAGAGGGAGAGAGACGGATCTCACTATCATACTTATAATTTGATACAGCTCTTATCGTGCAAATTTGTACGAGTGTATGCCATTGGAATATACGCCACCATGTTCTCAAAGAGTTAACGAAACAGATACTAGTTCCGCTTCAAAGTTAATTTTCCTACATTTTCGCGCAGGCTACACGTACATCGAAACGAGTGCAATATGTCCGTTTTGAAGATTGTTGATGTTGATGCTGCTTCGTCATAGAGATACGAAGTAAATATAGTGCCCGTCGGAGAGTGCAGTCTGTTATAGAATTATTTATGCGACGGCTATACGAAACTTGAGGAATCGGAGACGACAACTCATTGTAGATTCGGTTGAATGCACTCGCGCTGCGTCAATGTAAACGTAAAGCTCCTCCACTTTCTCAAAAAAATGATTTCGAAAAGAACAAGTTAGTGAAATTATAGGCCCGATGTATTTCCTCGAGCTTACAAAAGGCGATTATGACAACCAGATAGCGTCGTGTTCCAACAGTTGTCCACACGTCGAGCGTGGGTCTGTACACCCGACCGTATTTGCACCAAGTATCATGTCGACAGGGAGTGAGTTCGATCTCGAGCGAGCATGCCCTCGTACGTGTGGAAAATCAGCATGGAAGATAATACAAGTGTGAGGAGAATGAGAATGGACTTCTATGAACTCGATATCAAATTGTGTATCTATAGATACATAAACTAGGTAGCAATACTGTCATTGTGTACGTTAGACTCTACCGTACGTCGAGTACTTTTTAAATAGATTTATAATATTTTTTATAATTTTAAATAGGTTTACAGTATGCGTTGGTAAAGGTTTTTCCTAAAAGTTACCGTTTCATTTTCGCGAGAGTGGTGTGATTCGTGTGACTTGTAAGCGTGCGAGAAACGTGAGAGCAACTGCGTGCGTGGTGCATGACCGGGGGTGATTTTCCTTTTCTGTTGTTCCCAAGTTAACGGAGGATCAGAGGAAGGAAAAGAGGAGGGTAACACTATTAGCAAATTGAATATTTAATTGGCACTATTAAATGCTTACATGTAACTATCACCATGTAAATATTGTTACATTCGACCCGTTTCAACCGCTGTCACTATACATAGCCACACTGTCTCAAGCCGTATTAGTGATTCACGAATCGAGAGAGCCGATACGAGAAGCGGTAGGTCGCAGCTTTGACAGTCGGAGAAAGTATAAATCCCATCTGTTACCGATCCACCCCGAAACAACACCGTCGAAACAACGGCATTCATTTTATGACTTGCGGTACTTGCGATCAACTGATCGATTGGAAGTTAATTTATTGTGGCGCACACGTATAAATTAACTAACTTTATGATTAATTTTGTGATATATGACAAATTAACATTAATTTCACGAAACCGATGCTTGCAATCAATTGATTGATGGAGAATTAATTTATTATAATACACACGCGTATAAATTCAATGACTGCATTAACGACCATTTCTTTTTACAAGATATACCGCTGTCCATGAGTTTGGAAACGTGGTAAATTCAAATCAAAGAGAAAATTATCAACGAAAGAAATATCCGTTGTTATTTCAACGTTAATGTGTCACAAAGATAGGAGAGAAACTTTACACGCAGTGCAGCCTTCTGAAAAAGTACTTAAAGTTGAAGATTCTTTGTTAAAGTATCGTTATATATATTATATCGTTACATATATATGTATATATATGTTCACGAACCTATGGACAGTATCGTGTATCTCTTCGATCGCTAATTTTCCTATTTACACCTAAAGAGAAACCGATGAGGAAATCGTGTCAGAAATCCAATAATGTACCACTGCTGGAACGCCCCGTGATCAGGCACCAAGAGGCTCAGGGGCGGCCTAGCGGCGCGCGTTCCCAAGTCCTAGAAACCTAACTTTTATCCTTTCGTACCGCCTATTACTGGGACCTACGGAGTCGAGTTATCCGAGTTGCGCCTGGGGCGCTCCGAACTTTGTCCTGCGGTTAAAACTATCCGAAAGCATCGCAGTCGTGCTCCGGAACAAAGGCCCGCCGCGGCCGTTGATCGGGGCACCGACTTCGGTATCCGCTGAAGGCAGCGGATGTATTTTCTTATTCTGTTTTGAGGCTCTTGCCCGATCGTCTCACGATATAAGTTACGAGAATGTAATGCAATCATCGTTACTGTCCTAATAAACCTTCACGTATGAATCCATACGTCAATTCTACGGTTGTTCTTTCTATTTCTCTACCATCCCTCCACCCTGCGTATCTCCGTCCATCGTAAATTGTTACAAACCGACCCCCGAGTTGCCGATCGGCGATCCAAGATTCGCAGATGCGCCGTTTGATATCATCTCGTTCGCGTTTTTGGGCAAAACTTGGGCACCGATTCGCAATCAATAAAGTTCTCCTATTCGACCGAGTTCTCCAACCGGGAAACAACCCATAATGCTGAAGAGGCGGTTAAACTTGGCCGTAACTCTACAAGAGCGTTAAGCGCGCAAAGGAGGCCGCCTTGTCGCTTAAGAAGCTACGAAACGAGAAACCCTCTTACGAGGGCATTAACATCTCAGCATAATTGTTTGAGATAATTATCCTCGGTATTTAGAACCTGAATAGATACTATCGCCAACTCTGTTTGTCTCGGCAAAATTAGCCGGCGTACTGCAAGCGTAATATGTTCCAATATATAGTCAATTGCTCACGAGTAAAGGTCGAGAGACAATTAGATCTCGCTTCAGAAAGGAAGAAAAAGATTCCGTATTTATACCCAGCGATCGTAGACCGCGAGAGACATTCTTCATTTGTTTATTTTGCTAATACAGATAATTATGTAAACGATGAATTTTTAACAATCCTCTTTTTAACATCGCGGTTTACGACTGCAGTTGTCGATTACATAAAATTAACCATATTTGTGGTCGTAATTAATTATTTGCATTGATAAAGTTCTAATAATTGGTATAATATTAAATTAGTTATAATTAATTATAAATAGAGGACCGGAATTCAGTTTGTACTAGTAATTTTAATTTAATTTGAATAAATAGTCCCCCCCCCCGTTATATTTTATACATTAATATCGACTGTATCTAACATTTCAAAAGAATGCAAACAGAAATTTGTCTCTGCGCGCAATCCGGTTTACCAGTAAATGATATTGCGCGCTGAAGATAAAAAATATGAGATGTTTTTTAGTCAATCGCATCGCCTTCCGTTACCGTCCCAAAATACCAACTGATGAATCGTTCGATAAGTGCATCAACCCTCAATAAAGTAGTAATGCTTTATTTTACAGAAAACGAAGACATCTCTGCAACGATCAACAGTAACGCTTTAGTCGCCGATTAATAGACAGATCGTCAAAGGCCCGGGTCAAGTCGAGTTAATAATATATTAACTTGTAGAGTGTGTGTGTTTTTTATGAAAAGCATATTTTCTTAGAAATATGTATGTTAACTTCGAGTTTTTGTTTACTCCATTGGAATTAATATTCACTCTGTTGGAGGAAATATTCACGCCAATAGGATGAACATTTCACTCCATGGCAGTATTTTCACTCCACAAATTTTAGAGAGTATAAAGAAGATTAACCCACCCGAATTTTGACAAATAAAAAGAAATCAAATTATTTCATTTAACACCTTGCTTATATGTATACTCCATCAGAGTAGCCGTTTCGTTGGGCCAGATTGGACGTACCTTTTGTTGCTCCTGGCCATGCAGTCTGATCATTTTGACCAGGGGTCAGAAAGGAAGAAAACTTCTTCCATAGTCGGTTTGTTGTCACCGACAGACGTTACGCACGATTTAAATTATATACGAGCGTCGATCGTATCAAAAAATTCACGATTACGAGAAGTTGATTAAAAAGAATTTTAAGTCGAAAAAATTTACTGTATAAAACTAATTAAATGTATTTCTGCTTCCGTTATGTACTCGAGAGTATTGGCCGCCTCTTCGTGACTCGATCTTTCGATTCAAAATTCAAGTCTATACACAGAAAACATTTTACTTGGCGTAATATTAAATTTAACCATATTCCGCGATAAATTAACATTTCTAATATGGAGGAAATTAAAAAGTACCAATATCACAGAAATGTTTTGAAAAACCGATCGCGAAACTCGAACGCGAACACCGATCGCGCGGATGTATGAAGATGCGTGTGATTATGCATGCGACACGCATCTTGAAATTGTCACAAAAGATACCAAATAAATGACGTGAGATCCAGAGGAAAGAAACTTTCCGTACGAAATATAGACCGACAATTGAATACTCTAGTCTAGTTAATTAATCGTCTCAAGAAATGGATAAAAATAATATTAAGTTTCAGCGTTTTCGACAAAATAATCAGATCTTACGTCACATTATTTTACTGTAAATATAAATTTGCTAATGAAAAATGGATAGGCTACAAGAGAGCTCGACGAATACTTGAATAATATTCGTCCCGATCACTCTCTTTCGGTAGATGAAATATATAAAATTGAATTTGTGTTGTACTCTATCCACTTTACGGCAACGGATCTC